CCTGCTGCTTATTCATTCTTTAAAACAGCTGTAAAAGCTTAATTTAAATGTTTTTTACAAGGTTGTTTTTGTACTTCACCAGATCATAACCTATTATAGTATTTGTAAGAATGGATTCCAAATATCATTAAATTTGTCCATGGCAAGTCTGTGTTTATATGCAAGTTGTTCATATGTTGTGAGTTTGTATAAGTCTTCAATCCAATCGTAGAAGGGAGCCGCATTTTTATTTTTCCGATTCATCAGTATCAGTCTTTTTTGCTGTGGTAAGGAGAGTCCACTCATATTGTCCTTTTGTAAGGTTCCGTGTGCTGGGTATATAATTCAAGAGGATATTTTGCTCTGTAAATGTAAGGTTATTCCGTACACTTCCGTTGATGGTTTCAGTTACCTTCTGCCAAAAATCTTTCAATACAGGACAATGAAAAATCAAATGTTTTAGAGAAGCATTATCCCTATTGCATCTCTAACAGTTAGACAGCCCTTTTTTAAACAAACATAATGGGGTCCAGTATATTCTAAATATTTTTTGTTGTTGTATGAGCCTCAATTTAAGATCCAGAGACACCTTTTTTATAGCAGTTAAAATAGTTTCCTGTGTGGTTGAAATTGAGATCTATATAATTCTTTTTCTAAAGAATTAGAAAAGCTTAATTTAATAATGAACGGGTAAGGACCGTCACCTCTGTAACGTGGTTCAGATATCTCCAGTTCTACGACAGACTTAGAATCATAGAATCATAGAGTTGGAAGAGACCACAAGGGCCATGGAGTCCAACCCCCTGCCAAGCAGGAAACACCATCAGAGCACTCCTGACATATGGTTGTCAAGCCTCTGCTTAAAGACCTCCAAAGAAGGAGACTCCACCACACTCCTTGGCAGCAAATTCCACTGTCGAGCAGCTCTTACTGTCAGGAAGTTCTTCCTAATGTTTAGGTGGAATCTTCTTTCTTGTAGTTTGGATCCATTGCTCCGTGTCCGCTTCTCTGGAGCAGCAGAAAACAACCTTTCTCCCTCCTCTATGTGACATCCTTTTATATATTTGAACATGGCTATCATATCACCCCTTAACCTCTTCTTCTCCAGGCTAAACATGCCCAGCTCCCTTAGCCGTTCCTCATAAGGCATCGTTTCCAGGCCTTTGACCATTTTGGTTGCCCTCCTCTGGACACGTTCCAGTTTCTGTGTCCTTCTTGAACTGTGGTGCCCAGAACTGTAGAGACTTGAGCCTCTACAACATAGTTGACCAACTCCCACGATGGCCAAATTGCAGACCAGCTGTGACTTTACCCCTTTTTAATTTCCCCAGGGAACTGCATGAGTGAGTTTATGGGCCTGATCAAAGGGACTTATGAGGCAAAGGAAGAAGGATTTGTTGCTGGAGGTGCCACTCTTCACAGTATGATGACGCCCCATGGGCCAGATGGCACTTGTTTTGAGAAGGCAAGCACAGGCAAGCTGGTGCCCGAGAGAATTGCAGAAGGAACCATGGTAAGAGCCTAAAACATTGAAGCCTAGCAGCTGAGATATGGGGTTTTCTTCCAGCTTGCTCTCTGGGCGGAGAGGCAAATGGAAGAGTCGCCCATTTGGGCAGCAAGAATCATTCCTATTTTACACAGGAAATGATCCGCAAGGGGGAAGAACTTCTGACCAGTCAAAAGATTGGGAGAGAGAAGTAGGATGTCTGGCTAGCCAGAGACTGAACTGTATTAGTCAAGTGGCTTGTGGGCTGCGAAAAGAAGGCAATGAAGAGCCCAGCCAGGGATGACGGTGGGTGGGATTCTTGCACTGCAGGAGCTAAGGACCCTTGAGGTCCCTTCCAACTGCACAATGCTGATTCTATGAAAATCATGCCTTAAGGAAGCCCACGGGTGCTTCAAGGATGAATGGGTGTCCCAAGTCAACATGGAATAAGGGGGGGGGGCGTCTTCTTCCATTTAAACCTGAGGTGCAAAAAGGGGTTTCCAAGCAGCCTGAGACTACAAAAGAATTTGAATGTGTTAGATGTTAAGACTATAGACATACAGTGGTACCTCGGGTTACAGACGCTTCAGGTTACAGACTCTGCTAACCCAGAAATAGTACCTCGGGTTAAGAACTTTGCTTCAGGATGAGAACAGAAATTGCGTGGCAGTGGTGCAGCGGGAGGACCCATTAGCTAAAGTGGTGCTTCAGCTTAAGAACAGTTTCAGGTTAAGAACGGACCTCCAGAACGAATTAAGTTCTTAACCCGAGGTACCACTGTATTGCATTTTTTATTTCCTTTATATTCCATGGCTCATTCAAGGAGCCCAAGGTAGTGAACAAAGCTCTCTTCACAACAGCCACGTGATGTAGATTACGTAGAGCAGCAATCACTTGTGGGCATTATGCATTTACTAACTTGCACGGGAATAATCCGTGGTGCTTTATGAACTTGGGCCTCTGTATGAGGACTTGCCAAGGCATGCTGCCTTTTGTAAATAGTTCAGGCTATGTAAGAATTCAGATTTGTCAAGTCTAGCCAAGTACATGCAGAATTGTATGCCTGTTACCAAGTTCTGTGTGACATGCTCATGCAAATATACCACGCAAATTGAATTAGGTAATAGCCTTAAAATTCAGCATCATGAGATGTCCATCTTTTATCTAATTTGCAGTTGGATTGGCTGGGGTGGTGAAAAGGATTTCCAGTTATCAAGATATAGTGTTTCAGTGACTCATGTATCCCTGAAATCAAGTCAGGATCAACAGAACTGAAAATTAATTGCAACAAAAACAACTACAGTGGTACCTCGGGTTACGAACTTAATTTGTTCCGGAGGTCCGTTCTTAACCTGAAACCGTTCTTAACCTGAGGCACCACTTTAGCTAATGGGGCCTCCCGCTGCCGCGCAATTTCTGTTCTCATTCTGAGGTAAAGTTCTTAACCCGAGGTGTTTGTAATCCGAGGTACCACTGTATATGAAAGTCTGGTTTTTTCTACTGATAAGCAAAATTCGGCTTCTCAGTGGACTTCTAATGGCCGAGTCAACCCAGTTCTGAATATTCATCTCTATATCTGGACAACCTTATGAGAACTTGTAAACACGAGTAGTCAAAGGCGAGACTTGTCAATACTTCTAGATACAATTTAAGGTCTCGTGTGTATAACAGATTCTCTCTCAAATCATGTGCGCAACACTCTGTGCAACAACTCTTGTTTAAGCAACTTCTGTTTGCATTTAATAAATAGATTGTGGCTAGATACTTTCCCTTTCTCAACATTTTATATGACTTTTCCTGCAGGCCTTCATGTTTGAGTCTTCTTTTAGCTTGGCTGTCACCAAATGGGGGCTGAAAAGTTCCCTAGATAAAAACTACTACAAGTGCTGGGAAACCCTGAAGAGCCATTTCAATCCGAAGAATCCCGATGTGCAGTCACTCTGATTTTTCTTTCCTGCTTAGCTGAAGGCAACTGTGTAGCTGTTAACAGTGTCTTGGTCCATATTACATGCAGAAACTCATGGACAGCTGACAAGACGAATGACCTGTAAGCGTAAAACAAAAGAACTACCACAAATTTTGATTTGCCAAGTGCACCTTTACATTTGTTGAAAATGTAAAAGCCCCAAAACCTCCCATCCTATAATACCCAGTGTAACAAAATGATTTTGTACTTGGTCTCTCTGGCACAAGATAGTTTTTGAGTTTCTCTCTTAAGCTAAAATAAAGGAATATTAGCAATTTGCCTTTCTTTATGATTTCTGACATACAGTGACACCCAAGTCCTTCTCATGAGCTATCATATTCAACACACTGCACAAGCTGAACTGCCATTGTACCATTACTACTTTATGATTTATTAAATAAAAAATTAAAAATGATGGGGTGTTATAGGCGGGTAGTACATCTGGTGGGGGACACATCATGTTCCTTCTGGGGTAGTTTGTCCACCTTTGGTCCCCACCCTGCACTCAGCTCTCACCTGTGGCTCTTAGGTTTCAGCAGATGACAATGGCCGCACTCCAGAAAATGGCTTTGACTGGCCAGCTAAACCAGTTACAGATGGGTAGCCGTGTTGGTCTGCCATAGTCAAAACAAAAAAAATTCCTTCCAGTAGCACCTTAAAGACCAACTAAGTTAGTTCTTGGTATGAGCTTTCGTGTGCATGCACACTTCTTCAGATACACTTCAGATACACAGCTAAACCAGGTGAGGGTAGCCGATGGGTCTCAAACCCTCGGTGAGTTAGGGACTTCCCCTGTGTGCAAAAAGAGGCTGTGGCGGATTGAGCAGGCAAGACCAATAGTGGATCCAACTTTTGGCAGTTTCTGCACACGCTGTAGATGGAAGTGAGGGGCAGATGGGGCTCATCAAGCGAGGGAGGCATTTCTTCGGGAGGAGAAAAGGCTAAGGAGTGAGCCCTACACAAATCTGGAGTCCTTAAGATGGTTGGGTGGTGTCTTGGTACACCTCCTTCTGGCAACTCCGGCAGCCAGGCTGGTGCCAAACATATAGCTGTGCTTTCCTTTGGACCACATCAGTGAGGCCAGGGGGGGGGTCTTGTCATCTGGGCAGCGCAGGACCCCCAGACACACTGCTCAGGCTTGAGCCCAGGAGAAGACACTTCAGTGCTGCTAATGCAGTGGTTTGACTTGACCCCCTGGAAGTGCGCTCAGTTGTCCCTCGAGACAGATGGATGCCAACAATTTATTTTTAAAAAATTATTTTGCTCTAGGGCAGGGGTAGGCAACCTAAGGCCCGTGGGCCAGATGTGGCCCAATCGCCTTCTCAATCTGGCCTGTGGATGGTTAGGGAATCAGCGTGTTTTTACATGAGTAGAATGTGTGCTTTTATTTAAAATGCATCTCTGGGTTATTTGTGGGGCACAGGAATTTGTTCATTCCCCCCGCCCCGCCCCCCCCAATATAGTCCGGCACCAGTACATGGTCTGAGGGATGGTGGACTGGCCCACAGCTGAAAAAGGTTGCTGACCCCTGCTCTAGGGCAACTTTACAATACAATCAAAACAGCAAAAAAGCTTTTAAAATATGATGGATTTTAATCAAGAATGAAACATTAATGAAAATATATGCTACCGTTAAAAACAACCTGGCACCAGGTGAACCTCTCTGGGGGAACACCTGGGGAAATCTCTTGTTACCTCCCCACCTCACCCGAGGGCCTCTAAAGAGGGAAATGTTTGGGCAGGCTGATGTGGAGGGGACCCTTCATACATGCCAGACACAGAAGGATTTAAAAACTATCGCCAGCACTGGAATTTTGAACCAGAAAATGAACCAGGAGTCAATTTACCTGTTAAAGCACCGGTGAGATGTGACCCAACACCCAGTCCCAGGTAGCATCCTAGCAGCTATATTTGGGACTCACTGCAGTTTTGAGGACGGCCTTCAAATGCGGTAATTTAGCCTAGAACAGGGGGTGGGAATCAGTGACCCTCCAGATGTTGATGAGCTACAACTCCCAGACTGGTTGAAGTTATCGTAATCCGTGGGAGCCTGGTGAAAGGGAGCCATTTTATCCTCGAAACACCAGCAATGGCACAATCCACACCTACCGAGTAGACAGACCTAAATGCGTTTGAAACCAAGTGGAAGAAAATAGTCAAAGGTCAGGCTCAGGTCTCAGATCTGAAATGGGCAAAGCTACATTTCTACAAATTGATTCCACGGAAGGCTTAAAGGAGGTCACCTCATTATCGTGAAAATAGAAGGTTCCTGAATTCTGTAGCCTCTTGTGTAGAGGTAACTCTAATATCAGATTTAGGAACCAGGCCTCATGTCAGTTGTTCCTTCACTTGCTCAAACAATATTCTTCTATCCCTGGCCTTTGCACCCCACTCTTGCCAGCACTGTATTTTTCGCTATATAAGACGCACCAGACCATAAGACGCACCTAGTTTTTGGAGGAGGAAAACAAGAAGAAAAAAATTCTGAATCCCAGAAGCCAGCTGCCCTGAAGAGTCTTTGCACAGCTGAGCCAGAAGCCAGAATAGCAAGAGGGATCACTGCGCAGCGCTCCCTCTTGCTGCTCTGGCTTCTGGGATAGCTGTGTAGCCTGCATTCGCTCCATAAGACGCACACACATTTCCCCGTACTTTTTAGGAGGGAAAAAGTGTGTCTTATAGAGCGAAAAATACAGTAATTTGTGAAAATGTGAAGACATCTGAAAACCCATCTTTTGAAAGCAGAATTGCAAGCTGTAGTGACACAATAAATTTCAGCACACACGCAAAAGATTTATTGTAGGTGTTGCACTTGAAACACAAAAGAAACAAACCAGTTTCTAACTGAGATTTATTTTGAAATAGGTTAGAGACGGAGTCCAAGCCCCTTCAGCCACAGGTACAGGACACTTAATAGAACAGAGGGAACGGTCGCTCATACTTGCCTTCCTGTATGAGCTTTTCTTTTCTATCCTGTGCAAAACAAAAACAGGGAAAAAATCACAAAATTAAGCAAGGGTAAAGAAATGCTCCAACAAAAGTGATGCCCAAAGACAACAGAGTTAGCAGAAGACGACAACCCTTACTACATACTAAGCCCAAGCAATGAGACTTCTGAGTAAACATTTTATTTTATTAAAGTATTTTTACACCCGCTTTCAATTTAAAATTTTCAGGGCAATTTAAAGAAAGTCAGAAGTGTTGTATGCTGTTAAGTTCTAGAATGTGAGAGTTGGGGAGATGGTCTGTTCTGGAGAGGCTGCTCTCCTCTGAAAGGAAGGCTGTAGCTTGAGGGTACTCCTGGATCAGTCATCAGTGACTATTTTCAGCTATGGCTAATTAGCCAGCTATTGCCTCTTCATTACTTGGCCTTGGGACGCCTCCAGGACTACTGCAGTGCACTCTACATGGGACTGCCCTTGAAGATGGTGTGAAATCTCCAACTGCTCCAAAATGCAGCTGCCAGATTACTTCCTGGGTACCATTTAGAACAGGCATAGGCAAACTTGGCCCTCCAGATGTTTTGGGACTACAGCTCCCATCATCCTTAACTAACAGGACCAGTGGTCAGGGATGATGGGAGTTGTAGTCTCAAAACATCTGGAGGGCTAAGTTTGCCTATGCCTTATTTAGAACTCATATAACTCCTGTTCTGAAGCAGCCGCACTAGTTCCCAATTTGTTCCTGGACTCAGTTCAAGGATATTATTATCCTTAATGTTTAAAGCCCTAAACTAATTGGACCCCAAATTTCTGAAAGGTTTCCTCCTCTTGTATGTTAAAATCAGCAGAGGGCCGCCTTGGTAATTCTGCACCATTAGTCCAGGCAGTGGTGACCCAGGGAAAAGCCTTATCTGTTGCAGCCTCCCAATTGTGGAATTCCATCCCCAAAGAGGCACGTTTAGCATCATTATTGTACAGCTTTTGTCATATGCTGAAGACACACCCCTTTATCTGCTTCTAACAGCTGAGTTATTTTATGTTAAAGACTTCCCTGAGTCTACGTTTTACATTGTGTTTTTGGTGTTTTATTGTGTTTGGTTTTTTCAATTGTACATTTTATTGTTGCTTTGTTGTAACGTTCCCTGAATCTTAAGGTGAATGGCAGGCAAAAAGTCCTAAAAAATAAATAAATGGCAACAGGAAAACATTTGCTACAGAATGAAAATTTCAACTGTTTACAGGGTTTTTAATCCCCTACTCCACTCACTGAGCTGCTTTCTTTTTGCAATAACCTGCCACCTTTAATTTATACAATTATTTGTGCATCACTGGAGGAACATCAAGAGCTTTCACACAAAAAAAGCTAACTGAACAACATTTCTGAAATATGGAAACCAGTGTTTTGGATGCCCAAAAAATCAGAATTGTTGTCAATTGTCAAGAGTCCCCAGATACAAAAATAACAGGGGAAAGGAACTGAGGAAGGTGTGATAAAGCAGAACGCATATTTCCCATTATGATATGCCTCTCACGAAACCTAGTGTTCCCGTACAGCAAGCCATTTATACTAGTAAATCCAGTTACCGGATCTCATACTACACAGTTGTTTAAGATCCCATACTTATAGCCTTACCCTGTCCGTTTTGAAGACATACCACCAGAAAAAAATGGGCCCCAGTCCGAAAGCAGCTCCCAGTAGTGAAGTTTTTGGGGTGACACGGAAATTAGGATAGACGTTGTACATTCGGGCGTAAACCCAACGAGTCACAGCGGGGTCATCCTAAAGGAGAGAGAGGATAGTGAACATCTGCCCAAATGTGCGCTGTAACCAACGCTACCCAGGTAATGTCAGCTCTCACCTTGACACTTGTAATCTACTGTACACCTTAGGCACAAAGTGCAACCACAGGCAAATGCAGAAGATAATAAGAGTGGGGTTGTTTCCCCTGGATTATGCAGGGGAATTATAACAGAAAGGAATTATGTGAATTATAACAGAAAGGAACATAGGACACTGCCTTACTCCGAGTTAGACCTTGGTCCATGTAGCTCAGTCCTGTTTATGTGCCAGCCTTTCTCAACCTGGACTGCAACTCCCATCATCTCTGACCACCAGCCCTGGGATGATGGGAGCTGTAGCCCAGCAACATCAGGCAGGCGTCCTGGAGATGTTGGGGAATTCATAGAATTGTAGAGTTGGAAGGGACCCCCAAGGATCATCTAGTCCAACCCACAGCAATGCAGGAATTTCAATTTGTGTCCCCCATCCAGTATGGACCCACCACAGATGCAGGACGTCTAGCTTAGCTTTGGCAAATGTGCTGGCCGATGGGTGTTTTCCTTTTGCATGCGGCACCTGGGGCCTTTCGCGTTGCCACAGCACGATTCCTCGCAGCCGCATAAGCTACGGCCCTAACTTTGCTTAGCTTAAGAGTGGTGGTGTGTGGCAGCCATCCATCTTCTCGAGAAGACAATGGAGAGTGCCACCTCGGCGAGGGGTGGAAGTCAAACTTGCTGCTATTATAGGCCCAGCACTAAAAAGTGTCTCCCAGGGCTCAAGTCTGAAGAGTCCATGTGGTCTATGACAAGGGTTTTTCTCCTTGGGCTCGTCACCATGGACCAATACCAAAACGCCTGAATTTGTTGATGTTGTGTACCATTAGAGGGAAAGCACAGGCTATATGGTTTGGACCAGCTCCCTGGGCTGCAGGCAGTTGGCCATAGAAGGACCCGGTGTCAGCCAATACCAGCGTATCGGCCGGCACCAGCCAACCGTCTTAGGGACTCCACTCTGGATTTGTGTACGGCTTACTCCTTAGCTTTTCTTTCTCCTGAAGATATCCCACAAGACAGCAGAACTTTAGGATCAGAATTTTCCTTCTCCTAGATGGATCTTCTTCCCAGGTGGATGAGCCCCATCTACCCCTCACTTCCCTCTACACCACGTGCAGAAACCAACTTGACCATTGGACTCACTACTGGTCTCGTCTGCTCAATCCGCAGGAGCCTGACTTTGCATGCAGGCAAAGTCCCTTACTCCCTGAGGGTTTGAGGCCCATTGGCTCCCCTCACCTGGTTTAGACCGCTGTTCAAAGCTGTTCCCGGGGCCTGCCTCTGTCGCCTGCTGACAGCTTCTAGGAGCCACAGGTGAGAGCAGAGTGCAGGGTGGGGACCAAAGATGGACAAACTACCCCGGGGGAGCACAGCATATTTCCCACCAGAGGTAATACCCCTCCTCTTGCACCCATATGTGTGTGTGTGTGTGTGTGTGAATATTTAAACAATAAAGCACCTGGCAAACCCCATACAGAACATACTTAGAGGAAGACATACCGCCAAAGTGGGAATGTTTTATCATGTTTTTAATATTCTGTTGGGAGCTGCACAAAGTGGCTGGGGTGGTCCGGCCAGATGGGCGGGGTATAAGTAATAAATTATTATTATTACTATTACTACTACTTTTTTAGATGCCTGTTGTCTTTGTCCATGGAGTTTTCTTGGCAGGGAGACTGGAGTGGCTTGCCGGTTCCTCCTCCAGGTGGATCACGTTTGGTCAAAACTCTCCACTATGACCTGTCCATCTTGGGCGGCCCTGCACGGCACAGCTCGTAGCTTCTCTGAGTTATTCAAGCCCCTTCGCCACGGCAAGGCAGTGATCCAAGGCAAGGCTCCAAGACTTTGGCCCCCTCATGAGAAGAGAAGACTCCCTGGGAAAGACCCTGATGTTGGGAAAGATGGAGGGTGCAAGGAGAAGGGGACGACAGAGGACGAGATGGTTGGACAGTGCTCTCGAAGCTACCAGCATGAGTTTGACTAAACTGCGGGAGGCAGTGGAAGACAGGAGGGCCTGGCGTGCTCTGGTCCAGGGGGTCACAAAGAGGCGGAGACGACTAAACGACTAAACAACAACAAAAAACAGTAGTAGTAGTAGTAGTAGTTTAGTCATGTCCGACTCCACGTGACCCCCTGGACCAGAGCACACCAGGCCCTCCTGTCTTCCACTGCCTCCCACAGTTTGGTCAAACTCATGCTGGTAGCTTTGAGAACACTGTCCCACCATCTCGTCCTCTGTCGTCCCCTTCTCCTTGTGCCCTCCATCTTTCCCAACATCAGGGTCTTTTCCAGGGCGTCTTCTCTTCTCCTGAGGTGGCCAAAGTCTTGGAGCCTCAGCTTCAGGATCTGTCCTTCCAGGGAGCACTCAGGGCTGATTTCCTTCAGCATGGATAGGCTGGATCTTCTTGCTGTCCATGGGACTCTCCAGAGTCTCCTCCAGCACCAGAATTCAAAAGCATCCATTCTTCGGCAGTCAGCCTTCTTTATGGTCCAGCTCTCACTTCCATACATCACTCCTGGGAAAACCATAGCTTTAACTATACGGACCTTTGTTGGCAAGGTGATGTCTCTACTTTTTAAGACGCTGTCTAGGCCTGTCATTGCTTTTCTCCCAAACAATGACAAACTACTACTATTATTATTATTATTCAAACTTGCAGCTGACTGGGAGTTCAGAAAATGCTCTCCCCCCTGCACCCCCCCCCCGTTTCCTTCTCTTGCCTTCATTTTAAACTGAGCTTAGGGGTCCCCAAGGCCCTAAAGCAGCCTTCTTCCCCAAACCTGGGGGTCTCTCTCCAGCTGCGGTCGGACTACAACTCCCATCATCCCTCGCTGCCAGGACCAGGGC